ATTCATTTATCCAACAAATGTTAATTGAGTACCTATTGATTCTCAGACACTAGGCATGTACTAGTGAACAAATGAGATAAAAATCCCTGTTCTCATAGAGCTTGTATTCTAGTGAATGAATAAACAATAAACACAGTATGTGAATACATAGTTCATTAATAGTGATAAAGAAGTAAGGGGGAAAAGGAAGCAAAGAAAAGGGATAGAAACTGTCAAGGGGTCATTTCAGTGTGGGAATGAGAGGACAGGCCATGTGTCTCTGTGGAGATAGAATTTTCCAGACCTAAGGGCTTGAGGTAGGATTGAGTAAAGTGACTATTTTGATTGGAGTAGATAAATTAGAGGGTGAGTAATATGAGATCAGGGAGGTTGGAAGGCCCAAACATGTTGGCCTTATAGGTTATAGTAAGGACTTTGACTTTGACTTGGAGGGAGATGGGAAACCACTGGAAGTTTGGGAGCAGGAGATTTTAACAGGATCTGTGGCTTCAGGATTGGTAATAAATTGTGGGGGGTAAGGGCAGAAGTAGAGAGGTAGGACAATTCAGGCAAGATATGATGACAGTTTGGAATGGGACAGAACAGAGAAAGTATGGTGACTTTGGATGTCAAATACAGACTAGATTTGCAGAACTCCATGGCAACTATTTCTGCATATTGAAATCCTATTAGAGTAKTATGATCATTCTTAAGTTATAGGTTGTAACTATAAATGATGATACTTAAATTGTGTTTAACAACCAATATGCATACATTTGTCAGATACTCATTATTTCTGAAGTGTGTACAGTTTTTCTAGCATCAGATTGCTTTTACTACAAAATGTTTAAAGGCATCTCTAAACATTAATGTTTACAAATATATCTTTATTTTATGTTAACTTTAAAATTTTCTAGTTAATTCTAAATATATTTTTCATTTTGATCATATTAAACTAGAAAGGACATTTTTTTTCCTCCCTTTTTGTAACACAAGGGATTGAACTCTGGGCCTAGTGCATGCTGGGCAGCCACTCCACCACCCAAATATGTCTCTTGCCTTAAAGAAGGACATTTTAACATTCTGCCCTCTTACATGTCAGTTAGCCATGGTTTTTGAAAATATAGGACCTAAAGTTAGAGTTCTAAGAGAATCATCTTTTTCTTGGTTTTCTTCTGCTGAAATGAACGTGAAAATGTTTATAGTGTTAAAGGAGAAAAGCAAGGTCAGTGTTGTTTTATCACCTTGTAAATGTAATAATCATTTTTCATCATGTTATCTATTTGATAATTCAAGACTTTTATTTCTATATTGTTATTTTTCCACACCCATATACTTCATTACAGAAAATTTTTTAGGTAGCTCATAAAATTGTTCTAAGATGGTTTTGCAAATATTTTTCGATATGTATATATGCAGCAGCCTGACATTCTTGATTACCACATAGATGTGTAGAATGTGGCTTATGTTGGCCTTTATAAGTCATACTACAAAACCTCCATAATTAGTAGTCATTTCATGAAGTGTGGTATTCCATCCTATCCCATTCCATGTTTCACATTTTGCATATTTCATACAGAAGATACAGAAAGGGAAATAGAAATCATTTCTCCTAGAAATAGCTGATCATCTAATATATTTTGGTGCTTATATTTCTCTCTCTCTCTCTCTCTCTCTCTATATATATATATATATATATATATGACATAGAAATTGATGGTATCTATTTTGTGTGTATGTAGAAAACCAAGTCACAGTCTGCTAACTTTAGCAAACTTCTTTCTTACATATAAGATTGTGAGGTTTTCCCTGTCAGATACTGTTCTTCAGTAATTTTCTTCAAACATATGAATAATTTTCTACTCTTCTATGACATTTAGTCAGTTTCTTCTTATAGAATGTTTAAGGTGGTCCATTTCTACTGTTGAAAACCACACTATGGTGAATTATTGTGGCCTTTTATTTGTATGTAAATATTTTAAATTCAGGGAATTTTGGCCTTTATTTCTATGTATATGTATGTTCTATAGGTATAAAATCATGGAAAGTTCAGTTGAAAAGATGGAAGTTTTTTTTTTTTTTTTTCATATGCCATGGGACAGGTATACTGTTTGCCACATGCTTAGCACAGTGCTGACACATAATAGCTAATACTCACTGAGCACTTAATGAAATACCAGACCCTGTGGTAAGTCCTTTGTGCTCATATTTATGATTTTAGTCTTTACTACAGTTATATAAAGTATGTATTGTTATTAACCTTATTATATTGACCCCCAAACCGAAGTTTTGAAAGGCTACATTTTTTTTGCCCAAATATATACAGTTAATGACAAAACTAGAACTCAAACCCTGTTTGAGTCTGGCTAAGTTCATGCTGCCGCMCCCCTCTAAACAGATGCAATAAATTCTAGCTAAGTGTTTGTATGTTCAATAAATGCTAAGTGTCATCATCATTATTCCTACTGCACAGATTGTTTTGGTTCCAGTATTTTTTGGATTTTGGAAAGATAATTTAGTTCATGTAATCATGTATGTTTTATGTAACACTCTCTTACAGTTTGGAGCAGTATTCCATTAGCAAATGTATTCATGTTTCTTCAGTGAAGCATGTTTTTCTTTATATTAAATGAGATGAAAAGTAAAAGATATTAATAGCCTAATGTCACCACATGCTACCAAATGAGTTATGAAAAACTTTTAGAATTATGCTTAAGGGATTGTGGATTTATTTAAAAGTCTTAGTGTATGTGTGGCATTTCAACACTCCTTATATGTTAGTGGGTACTGCTACTACCAATGTTATCATTGATATTGCCTTTGGGTTCTTATTTACTCATATACATAGAAAACTGGTGAATTATGTAGGGTTAAGAGTACTTTTTCTCAGGTCATGACATGAAGAGGGGAGGGTACCTAAGTGTTGAAGTCTTCTGACTTTTCTTCCCTACATCTGAGTAAAGGGCTTATGTGATAGCCTTTCACATTAGTTTTCTGACTTAACTATAGGCTTGTCTAGCTTAATGCTTCTGTCCTGTCCATGTGCACTCCCAATTGTGCAACATTGATTTCAGAGTCTATGGAGTAGCTCACCTTGTGTTTTCATCCTTTCAGAGATTTTAGTAAGACAGTGCTATAAGTTTTTTCTTGCTTGTTATGTGTGAAGTGTGAACCTTTTGGGAGAACAATTTAACTGACCCATCATTTCTTCCAATAAGACCAGGTAGGACTAAAGACTCAAGTGATTGTATTTAAAATTGAAATACTTCCTCTTCCCCCCAGCATCTCAATTGATGAAAAACTGATTATAGTCATCATACTTTTAAAAACAATAACCAGGAAATGTTCATTATTATGCACTGATTTTAATCCTATCATATAAACTACTTTTATTGCAATCAGATTCAAATAAATTTATTAAATGCTCTTGATGTGCATAATTGCTATTGAGATGATGATGATGATGATGATGATTTTTGGTTGTGCTGGAAATTGAACCTAGGGCCTTGTGCATGCAAGGCAAGCACTCTATGATCTGAGCTATATCCCCAGACCAAGATTAATTTTTAAAAAGTTTTTCAGCTTGGATTTCAATCTGTTACCTATACTTGAAAATATCCCTTTGAACTGTTTAAAGATCTCTGTATATGTTATTCTCTTCCGCATATTATTGTAGTATGTTAGCTTCCCACTACTGCAACAAAATACTTAAGATAATCAACTTACAAAGAGAAAAAAGTTTGTTGGGATTCATGGTTTTGGAGATTTCAGTCCATGATCAATAGGCTCTGTTGCTTTGGGGTCTATGGTGGCAGCACATCATAGTGGGAAGCTCCTGGCAGAGTAAAACTGCTTACCTCATGGCTGGGACTTGAAAGGAGAGGTAAATGAGGCGAATGGGWTTCCACAAAGCCCTTTGAAGGCAAGTCCCAACAACTTAAAGACCTCCAACTAGTACCCACCTCTTTAAAACTTTTCACACTCTCCACAAATACTATGCTGAGAACCAAACCTTTACCAAATGGACCTTTGGGAGACAATTAAGATCCAAACACAGCAGGTATTATTTGTCTTCCTCACTCCTGCCTTTCAATAATTGAAAACATTGTCACTTAATATTTATCTTCCTTTTCTGTAGTTTAACCTTAGCCCCATAACAAATCCAACAGATTTGAAGGACCTTTAGAAATTGCCAAACTGAAACAGAAAGATAGAAACAAATGTAACCAGTTTATTAAGTATGATAATGGGGTCCTATTTATTTGTATTTGGGAATTTTTTGATCCATAGGTGAAATATAAGGTACAGAAATATCTGTTTGCTTTTTGTGTTATTATTCGAATGGATGTGTAGAGTCTATAGTTTATAGACTATATAGACTGTTAGTCTTAATTGTTGTTGGAGGGGGAGATAGAGGGGGGGAGAGAGAGAGAGAGAGAGAGAGAGAGAGAGAGAGAGAGAGAGAGAGAGAGAGAGAG